CTAGTTTGTCGATATTAGGCAAGTGATATGCATCTTTGGGGCATACCTTATTGAGATCAGCATAGTCAACACACATCCTCTATTTTCCATTAGATTTTTTGACAAGTACAACATTGGACAACCAGGTTGTGTATTGGACTTCCAAAATAAAATTTGCCTCTAGAAGGTCTTTTACAGCTAACTCAACAGCCTCCGCTTTCTCGGGAGACTGTATTTTCCTGCGTTGCACTACGGTCCTAGCGACCGAATCTATGGTCAGCTGATGGCAGGCCACATCGAGGTCGAGCCCGGGAATCTCCGCAGCGCTCCATGTAAACAAGTCAGCATTCTCCCTGAGACAGGCTTTCAGCAGCTTCCTCACTAGGTCGGGGAGTCCTGTGCCAATCTTCACACTTCTGTTTGGGTTGTTGCTAAGGGCAATGAGCTCGAAGTCACCATCTGGAGTGGAGTACACTGGGTGGAGAGGATGTCCGTTGCTCTCTGATGATGGGGAGGCGTCTGTCGCTGCTTTGTTCTGCTCTTGCTTGCTGGGGAAACGGCTGTTGAGGTCGATTGAGTTGACGTAAGGCAAAGACTTTTGCTCCTCTTCCTGAGCTAGTTTGCTGGCATTTTTGGGTGTTATGTTGATTGAGTTCAGCCCCTTGGTGGTTGCTCCAAAACACCTCCTTGAAACCTCAATGTCCCATTGGAGGGTGACGACGCGACCCCTGGCTGTGTAGTATTTCATCTTCAGGTGGACTGTGGATGGTACTGCGGTTAGCTCGTCCAGGATTGGTCTTCCTAGGATGCACTGGTATAGAGAGGGGCACTCTATCACCAGGAAGCAGACTTTGACTTGCCTGGCCGTCTCCTCGAACCCGAAAGTGATGAGAAGCTCAACATAGCCCCATGGCCTAGTGGTGGTGCCATTGAAGCCCTGCAAGTCGGAGCCCAGTACGGGGTCAGACGCCTCTCGTCGAGCTGGAGGGTTGTGAACAAGTGAGCATACATAATATTGACAGAGCTCCCTTGGTCGACCAGGATGCGGAGGACGTCGAAGTTCACCATCTGGGCTTTGATCAGTAGATAGATGCTAGAATTGGGGGCGCCACCCGACAGCTCCTCAAGGTAGAAGGTGATGGGCTTCGATTTTTGTTCGAACCTATCGAGGGTGGCGTTATGCTTTGAGCTGACGTCGATTAGCTTGTCAAACATCCTCTTTACTGACCCCACAAAGAGCTTGTTGAACCCTCCACCGGATATGACCATAGCAGAGGGAAAATCCTCCCATGTGCTACAAGCAGACAAAGGTGTGTCGGCCTTGTAGGGGAGACAGAAGTCCTCCGGTTAGGAGACGCACATGGCGACTTACAGCCCAGCGTTGTGGGAGGGTGGCGTCACCTCCTCGACCTTATTCGCCTCGCGGGCTTCTTGTTAAGGGGATTCATTTCTTCTGGTGTTCTACTTCAAATGCTCTTCTTTGATCAGGATCTTGATCGCATCCTTGAGGTGGATGCATTCTTCTGTGACGTGTCCGTGGTTCCTATGGAACCGAAAATACTTGGACTTGTCGATGTTGGACTTGAGGGATATCGGTTTGGGAAAACCGTCCCCACCTCTTTGGAATTCCGAGTTGATGAACTCGGCCAGAGTGCGCTTGCGGGGAGCAGTGAGTAGCGTGTACTCGATGAAACAGTCTGTCGGCCCCCTATGTTCTCGGGAGTCGCGGGGCCTATCGTCTCTTCTTTTCTCTGCGCCTCGTTGGGGAGCCACATAGTCATTGCACGCCGTGACTTTGAAAACCTACTGGTTCTGCGTGTCGCGGGTCTTGTTAGCGGCCTCTCTCTCCTTGTACTGTATGTACTCCTGGTCTTTGAGGAGAAGGGCGTCCAGCGAGTGAGGCGTCTCAATACCCACTGATTTGGCGAAGTCGCTGCGGGGACGCAACCTTCGCTCGAGCAAATATCTTTTCATCCGGTCGGTCGTGGGGACCTGAACAGCTTCTCGATTGAATCTCTCTATATAGTCGCGAAGAGATTCGTGTTCCCCTTGAATAATGGCTTCGAGCGAAACCTCGAATTTCGGATGTCGACGGGAGGCGGTGAAGTGCCTGGCAAACTGTGTCTTCAGGTCCTTCCAGAAGGTGATAGATTCGGGCTCAAGGATTTTATACCACTCCATGGCTCATTTCCTTAGAGTGGTGTGGAAGAGTCGGCACTTAATGGCGCCCCAGACGTTACAGTAATCGAGCACCGCGTCGATGTTCTCGATGTGGTCGTTGGGGCCAGTGGTGCCATCGTAGGTCGCTAGTCTTGGTGGCTTCTCCATCCCGATGAGGATGGGGGTCTCCATGATTTCCTGGGACAGTAGACCGCATGGTCGTCTTCGTCGCTCCAGACTAGTGTGCGCGACGGGGAACGGTCGTAACAGAGACTTCTGCTGCGGCGCGACAAATTCCTTGGCCGACCCTTTAGTTTCTCCTGCTGCCCGCCGACTTTGTTCCTTTTGGGAGTCGGGGAGCAGCATTCCTTGCGAGGAGGAGAGCGATCCCACTTCTGTGTGATTGCGGTGTGTGGTCTCTCCAGCCGCGGCCTACGATCGGGCTGTCGCGGTGAGGGGCTTCGAGATTTGTCCTGTTGATGTCTCCGCAGGGGAGAGAGGGGACGCGTTTCTCGTCGTCGCGGGGACGTGCTGCGAGAAACTGGGCGCCTATGCCTCTGCGGGGGAGAGAGCGATTGTTGCTTCTCCAACATCCCAATGCGCTCGCTCTGCTGGAAAATCACCAGGTTCGTCTGATTGATGGTCGGGAACAATGCCACTGTGGTAGGATCGGCGTTGGGCGACACATAAATTGGCTGGAAAACCGCTGGACTCTCGAAACTTTGGCCGGTGTTGCAGGCCACATCGTCGGGGGAGGGAGAGGCGATGTGCCCATCCCTGGGGTCACCTTCTTCAACAGTGGGTGCCACGTTGTTGTTGTTGTGGTCGTCGCCATCAGCGAAGGTGGTGAAGGAAGCTTCGTGGACGTTGTCGTCAGTGTGTTGGCTGACCATGATCGAGAAAAGTTGAAGATTTTTTTGGGTCCTTTCGGAGGAAGAAAAGACTGGGAAGTAAGAGGTTCCCACAGACGGCACCACCCATCTTACCGGATCAGAAAGGGGATCGGCAGCCAACAACACGTCGTGAGCTCTAAATCGCCGGTGGTGGAGAAGAGGAGGGGGGTGTATCTGCATGACACTCCGATGGCAAAGTGAGAAAAGAGAGAGAGAGTGAGCAAGTACAAAAAGCTAGTGAGTTTAAGAATACCTGACCCTCATCTGGAGGAGAGTATTTATAATGAGCCCCTAGCACTGGGCCAATGGTTATCCGCATTAGGTTGGATCTTTAGGCCCAACATGGATAACTGCCAAGATCTACGCGACGTAGAGAAAACCAGCACGTGGTCTTCGTCCTAGGTCAACTGTCCCACGAACTTCGGGAGGTGGAGGACCTGTTCTTGGAGCGAAACTGACACCCCAAAGTCGTAGGTAGTTGACTGATGACGTGTCCCCTAGTGGGGAGCCCGCGAAGAGTGTGGGAAAGACGCGTGAGGAGTGTTCTCCGTGCGGGATGATGGATTGGACCCTTGTTAAAACCTCCCGACGAAGAGTTGAGTTGGACTGTGCCCGAAGATAAGCTAGTCTCTGACCCAGTTCAGAACACGTACTGACTAACCGAAGAGAAAATGATCATTACTTTGCAAATTATTGACTATTGTTGACACAAATTCGGTCTATTATTATTTTAACACTTTATAATTGTACCCAATATTTTTTAAGAACTGTTTTTGAGCATACTCTATTGGAATAGCCAAATTAAATCTTCAAATGTTTATCTGAAAACCCTTTTATCATAATAAAAATTACCAGTGCATAGGGCTGACAATGAACCAAACCAACTCGAAGATAGTTCGGAATTCGACCCGACAATTAAATCGTTGAACTAGGTTCATGAACCAAATGAGTTGAGTATGAGCGAAAAATTAAGTTCGTTAACTAAATGAGCTGAACTTGAACTATACATAGTTCGACTCGTTAGGTTCATGAGTCAACTCGATTACATATGAAAAGAATTATACTGTCTTTAAGATTAGGTTTAAATATTTACTTCAAATCTTAGACAAATTTAAACTTCAATTTAGTAGTTTTTGAATTAGACTCTCAAATGTATCTCTTGAAAGTTGTGTAGGTTTTGAATTAGTAGATTTCGAAGATAAAGTTAAATTTCAATATGATAACTTTTATTTTATTTTAATATTTTGTTTAAAATATATATATTTATTTAAAATGTCAAATATACTAAAAAATATATATATTTAAAAAAATAGTTTTTAAGTTCGTGAACCATGTGAGCTGAACCTAATGAGATGAACCTAACGAGTCGAACCAAACTGTTCGTGAACTTATAACGAGTCGAGTTTGAGCTTAAAAAAAAGTTCGTGTCAAACTCGAACTCGAACTCGAATTTGAACAATTCTTAACGAGTCGAGCCGAGCTGAGGTGAGTTCGACTCGACTCGACTCATTTCCAGCCCTACCAGTGCAGTAAGTGTTTTTTCAGGTGCTTATTCTATCATTTTCCAGCTGAAATTCACACATTTCACTATACAATTCTGTCTACCACACTATAATGTCATGTTCATTTTGTCTTCATTTACATGTGTAAAACAACCTTAAATTAATAAACAAAAGAATGTACCATAAAGTTGACACAACACCAAGCCATGGCGTTAAGTTTGAGGAAGATTGGATGCTTTCTTGTCAATAAAAACTTTTGTTCTCACTCCAAATACTTCAGCAAAACAGAAACTTTCTTTATTGTCTTATACGGTGGTGAAAATCTCAAGACACATACATACAGCTGGCTCTATGAAGCAAAAATGATCTCGCTCTATATTAAATCAGTAGAATCAAACTCATTAGCTCATGTGATAATTTCTTACCACCATTGTTTGCTAAAGACGAGGATGAAACATTGGAGACTATGCTGAAGCGTGTTGTTCATTCCTTAGGCCTAGTGGAGCACAGTAATGAAAATCCAAGAAGAAAGAACAAGGCTAAGCGTAAACATCATCACCAAGATAAAACCAAAGAGAATATCAAACTCAGTACACCAAATGCAGTAAATATACTACCTCCTAATGAATGCAGAATCCATGAAAAGCGTGATCAGGTTAAGGAGACAAATTGGGTTGGTGAAGAGAAAGTGAATGCAAAGGTGAATGTGTTTCAAGGTGGAGAAGATGGAGATGAATCTTGTTTTACTGCAAATGAGTTTTATGTTTCAAAGGATAAGTCAATAAGATATTCGAGAAGAAAAGGAATAGTAAAAGGGAAGAAACCTTTTGTGGCACCATTTCCAAGATTATATAGGGACTTGAAATGGAAACCTAGCCTTGCCACTGTGGATGATCTTTCTCCATGATTTTTGTGATGTTTTTTCTCCTTCTTTTATAGTAGTAACTCCTATCATAGGATGTTTTTAGCTAGCCTGCCATTTTCTTTTTAATGTTAAGTATGATTCATATATTGGTTCTTGGCCCTGGGTTTATAAATTGAATTACACTACTGAAATTTGAAACACTGTACCGTATTTGTAATTGGTATTTAATTTGTAATCGAAAGAAGAGAATTTCTTATGACACCACACCCTATATGGTGAAAAAACACTAGTTGAAAAATCAAAATTGATCTTCAGATTTTGGGGATACATCTCTGAACGTACTCTGTCTTAAATCAAAACGTTAACTTATCTGGAGATGCATCTCCATAATCATTTAAAACATACACCATGCATCCACTTAGAAAGACATTTTACATGTTTATTTCTGAAGATGCATCTCCGTTTATATTACGAAGATGTATCTCTGTAACCTATCAAAACATATGTTATGTTTATTCAAATAAAGATTTATAAATGTAATGTATCATATTATGTGACGAGATTTAAACCAAAAAATCGATATGTAAAAAATAACATAAAAATCCAGATGATCCAAAAATTTTATATATATATATATATATATATATATATATATATATATATATATATATATATATATATATATATATATATATATATATATATATATATATATATATATATATATATATATATATATATATATATATATATATATATATATATATATATATATATATATATATATATATATATATATATATATATATATATATATATATATATATATATATATATATATATATATATATATATATATATATATATATATATATATATATATATATATATATATATATATATATATATATATATATATATATATATATATATATATATATATATATATATATATATATATATATATATATATATATATATATATATATATATATATATATATATATATATATATATATATATATATATATATATATATATATATATATATATATATATATATATATATATATATATATATATATATATATATATATATATATATATATATATATATATATATATATATATATATATATATATATATATATATATATATATATATATATATATATATATATATATATATATATATATATATATATATATATATATATATATATATATATATATAAAGTCGAAATACATGATAAAGTAGCCTGAAGTGAAAATAAAATACAATCTATAATAAATCCAAAGTACTACTACTATATACTATTGCACTACTGCATATGTTAAACTACATCTCCTCTGCCTCCTTGGCCTTAAATACCTCCAATCCTCCGGCGCTGTCTCCGGTACAACAATGTCTCTCGTGCCTCCGTCATGATGACATCTAGAATCTGCCTCACATCAGATCCATCAAGGTAGACACCTCTGTCAATGTCTACTTACGCAATCTCCACTACGCGACAACATCTAGGCAAAACATTCTCAACATGATCTAACTGTACCTGCTCCTCCTCTAGTATCTCCTGATGAGCTGGCCTCAACGGATCTTTTGGAGCAGCTTGCACCATATATGGATGTGACACACTAAAACATCACCTAATGTAGTCGTCGACATAACTCTAGTCGCTCTTAGCTAAGGTACTATGTGTTTCCTCCGGTACCAGATGACTCTCATAATCATCAAACTCTACATCTATCTCTATACGTGTCAGAGAAAAAGGAGGAGAAACAATAGGGTGTCTGGAAATAGTCCGAGTGTAGCCGAAGTGCCGCATCACGCGCTCGGGCAGATGAGGAGCAGTGAGACGTGATTCAAAAGTCAAGCATCCCGAGTATATCCATATGTCATCAAATGACCACATTTCACGGTGATTGACATAGCTGTTGAAGTACATGTCCTCGACAACCAAGCAGTCAAGATACACTTTGAGCGACTCTATTGTCAGGTTCCTTCTGAGCGGGGAAAATGCAAAAACACGCGAATATCCTTAATGTAATTCAGTAGACCCGCCTAGCTAGAGATGTGCGAGAAGTGCTGGAGGATCCAAGCCAGGAAAATATTCGAACATACGAATCATCAGTAATGGCATTTCAAAGATGAAATAAAAATGACATAGAAACATTAAAAGACCAATAAATATTATCGTTAGTAGTGTGATGTTGCCAGTGACTTACTTCATCGTCCACTTATAGCCCTTTGATAACTTCAAGTGCAAGTAGACCAAACAAGCGCCCTCCAGATGTACTCATGGATCCGCTCAAAGTACTCAAAGCATCATAGGTAAACAACATCTGTATAAGTGGCACTCTTGTCCACAAAAATTGAAGTGCCAACTAAATATAGCAGGTATGCTCTCATGACATACACTCTATGGAGCCCTACCTGCTCGTCATCACCTCTAGTCTACTATGCTTTATGAAGCTCATCTGTATAAACCTTTCTCAGGAATTCAAACCTAGCATGAGCCCCTTTGATTCTCTCCATCTCCGTTATCGTATCCTCTATGTCAATTCCCAAATAGTATACCATCAACTCGAGTGCCCCGTCTTTGTTAATCCTTCCATGATCTAGAAGTTCCCCTTGATAAGAAGATGTAGCAAACACGACACTTCGTCGAGTGTGATAAACATCTGACCAAGCGGGAGATGAAATGATAAGGTCTCGGTGTTCCATCTATCCACGAATTCATTAAGCATTCAGTGGTTGACCGTAATATAACCGGTCATGTATAAGTCTTTCATCCCAGATAGGGACAAAGCTGCCTGAAACCACTTCTCATTCGACTGAGACAAGCCAATAATCTTTCGCCTATGGTTAATAATCTCTAGCGGATGAAGGTCCTACAGAAAAATAAATCAATGTCAGAAACTTGTAATAAAGTAATAAACGTAAATTAAAAATAATTACTCCAATTAATGTTACCTCTCCGTCCCAGATATGTCTGGCAGTATGATTTGGGTACAGAGGCAGTAGTGACAACTCTACAGGGCCTCCTCCAAATGCTTGAGATGGCTCTGGCTCATCATCCTGAGCAACATCACCATCCAAAGGTGGCACTGGCTCAACAGCATCATCCGTCGTAGGTGTCACTGGTGCCTCCGGTATCACTGGTGACTCGGGTACCTCTGACGCTTGAATAGGTAAAACCTGGCGCCTGCGGAAGGGTGGAAGGAGTGATGCGTTGGTAGGTGAAACCCGTATCCTATGTGAAGAATAAGATGGAGAAACATGAGCCCTATAAGTAGATGTCTCTGTATAACCAAAGTGAATAGGAGCCTGCAAAACCTGACTCTTCTCCCGCTGCACTAATGCATGTTGTGCAATCCTCTAGTGCCTCATTCTATCGTGTCTATCAGCCATAATGCCTGTAATTAAACTCGACAATTAGTACAAACAACACTACAAACAAGAAAAAAAATAGACTAAAAATTTCCAAAGATGCATCTCCAGTTACTAGGAAACTAAATGTTAAAAAAATTTCGTAGATGCATCTCCGAAATTTTCTCCAACTCTTCAAGTCATCAATGACGGCAATGCATACGTGCAAACCTAAAAAAATGGTTTGATCATGATTTTCAACAAACATATTTTACAGTATGTATAAACTAACATTCTTACATTTCCTACTCATTTCTTACCTAAATCATCATTTTATACTCATTTACACAAAACTCAAAAAACTTATAAAAAACATCAACAACTTACAAATTTAGACTTTGTTTAAGTGTTGGATGATGTCTCTAATGTCCTTGATGTTGATTGAAAATATATTTGAAGATGTATCTCTAGAATATTTGAAAATACATTTGAAGATGTATCTCTAGAATATTTTAACGTTAAATTAGAATTAGGTGTGTTTGGAGATGCATCTTTGGAATCTGAGGACATTTTAGTATTTTCAAGTGGTGCCTAAATAATATATAAGGTGCATTAAGAAATTCCCTCGAAAGAATTGCATATTTTTAAAAATATACTTCACCCACTTTAATTTTAGAGATGTGGTAACAATTGGTCCACCACTATGATTAATAGTTAATTATTTGCTTATTTCAATTCTACCACACATTTTTCTCCGTGTTATCAAAAAACACTACTTCCCCTAATTTTTCAAAATACATTCTTTTTGAAAAAAAAACACTTAATACACCTGCCTAATAAGATTGACATGTATTAGATCTTGTGTTGGGGTCTGCTGCAAAACATGAATAAGAAGAAGATGAAAATGTCATGATGATAATTGCACAAAATAAATTCTAAAATGTGTGTTTACACTAAGCTTTATGTTCGATTCGCATCCACCAATTTAAGAAAATTGGATGAAAATGAGTTTATATTATAAGCACTACAAAAAATAGTAATTAGCCATGTGATTTTCACGCCACAAAGGTGAAAATCATGTCACAACAATTGATTAACGACATGGAAAATCACACGATAGGAGCACTTGTGGCAACTTTTTTGCCATGTGAAAATTACGCCACAACTTTGCCACATGACATTCACGTCACAACGCTTTACCACATGAAAATCATGCCACATACTTCAACATAGATTGCAGGTTTCGTCTGCTACGTGTCAGAAATCTGCCACGTGAAATTCACGCCACAAACTTGCCATGTGAAAATCACGCCAAATGTCTACATAGATTTAATATTATAAAAAAATATATTATATATTTATTTTAATATATATTATGTGTTTATAATAAAAGTTTTAATAAACAAAGATATTAAAATGAAAATAATATGTATATTTATGTTTTTATAACGAAAATATTTTGATTTTAAATGAGAATTAAAAATGGAAATTTTTGGATTTAAAAAAAATAAAAAAAATAACTAAACATATTTATATAAATATAACAACAATACATAAAAAAATCAAACAACCCATAACTAAATATATTTTTATATATGAAAATAAAATAAAAATACATACCTTATAGTGAAGAAATTATATAAAAATAGAGACCAATCAATAGAGTTTGTTG